CATACCATAAGGAATGAGCTTAAAATGCTACTGGGAGAAGAGATTTAGGGACTCAAATTCTTACTAGTCTGTAAATGACTACTCTAAAGTGTTTTGAAGGTGATGAATGGAAAAACACGTAGCAGGAGTCAAGGGAAGATGGCAAAAATATGAAAAAGGGGCATCTGACGGTGCTCACGTCAGGCACTGGCAGTGTGACTAGTTGCTTAGCTGTGACCTTGAGTGTGGGCCAAGTAGAACTCAAAACGAACTCTCCCCACCTCTCTCTAGCTAGATGGCCAAGAATCTCTCGTGGAAGAGATATTCAGAACCAGGCTGGCTGCAAACCACTACTGCCAGATGGCGGAGCAGTCAAAATATTGAGCTGTGAAGCCCACACTGTTTGGGTAAAGACTGAACTTGCATTCCTGCTGCAGACCTTGGTGGGCCCCAGTCTGAGAACACTTCCTGCCGCCTCTGCCATTTCCCTCAGGGACTCACTGAATGACTCACAGCTCATTTCCAGCAGTTTGCTCCTTGCAGGGATTTCTCCCTCCCAACCAGCCTTTTCTCTGGCCTTCTAGTAAAAGACACCCTGTGCCGAAAATGGAGTCTGGACTGTATTTCTGTGAGAACAGACCTACCTTCCTTTCCATGTAATATGCATTTTAGGGACCCAAAAGAATCTTGTGAGGTGAACAGAAAAGCAGCAATGCCCCCATTTTCTAGATGGGGAAACTCCAAGAGGCTGTCTTGTCCCAGGTCCAAGTGGAGGAGTGTGGACTTCTGACTTGTGTCTTTTCTCACACACGAGGAGCCATCAGTCCACCTGAAAATTATTTAATGGGGTGCCTGGCTGGCTCAGTTGATAGAGCATGCGACTCTTGATCTCAGGGCCGTGTGTTCAAGCCCCACGTTGGCTGTAGAGATTAGTTACATAAATAAAACTTAAAAATAAAATAAAAATGTCATTTCTGTAGAAAACCATGGTCTAGAAAGCAAGACAGTATCTTCAAGGGGAAATGAGGGTCCTCTCATTCTTACAAAGGCATTTATTTCAGATAGATTGAATCACTCTGTGGTAGACTGGTTTATTCTTTCCAAAAAATGTAATGACTCCCCCATTATACACATAAGGTTTACTTCAGAAACTTTGAAAAGTTAGAAAAACAGAGACAATAAATATCACCTGTAATCCTCCCACTCAGATATAACTGCTGTTGATATTTTGATATGTATCCTTCCTGTCTTTTTTCATACACATAAGACTGTATTTAAAAAAAAAAATTTTTTAAGTTTATTTTGAAAGACAGAGAGAGAAAAGAGGGGCAGACAGTGAGGGAGAAAGAGAATCCCAAGGAGGCTCTGCCCTGTCAGTGTGGAGCCCAACGCAGGGCTCAAACTTAAGAAGCATGAGATCATGACCTGAGCTGAAATCAAGAGTCAGATGCTTAACCAACTGAGCCACCTAGGCATGCCACATATGGCCATATTATATTAAAATTTTTTTTTAACATTCATTTATGAGAGACAGAGAGAGACAGAGCCCAGGTTGGGGAGGAGCAGAGAGAGGGGGAGACACAGAATCTGAAACAGGCTCCAGGTTCTGAGCTGTCAGCACACAGCCCGATGCAGGGCTGGAACCCACAAACTGTGAGATCATGACCTGAGCCAAAGTCAGGAGCTTAACCAACTGAACTGCCCAGGTGCCCCCACATACGGCTGTGTTTTAACAAATCAGAAGAAAATGTGGTATAAACTGATTGATAACTTGTTTTTTCATTTAATAATACTTCCACGATTTTTTTTCTCACATCATAAATTTCTGGCATCATCCTATAAATGAGGTCCCTAATCTACTCAACCCATTTGGACTTTCAGGTTGTCACCATGTTTGTTGTTGTTGTTGTTATAAACACCATCGCAATGGGCACGCTTGGTCTTATAAAAATACAGTGATGTTTGTACCCAGTTGTTTGGGTAGAGGAAACAGAGAAAGTTGATAGGTGTCAGCTTGATTTACATCCGTCTTTTGGAGCACGGGGAAAAGTGAGGCCAGGATTTCAAGTGCCCCCACTGTACATGCTGTTTCCCTCCCCTGCACTCTTAATTCTTTTTCTCCAACTTAACTGTCATGGTATTTATGACCCCCACTTCTCGTAGCTCCTTTGCTTTCTCTCCGCCCTGCTGTTGCTGTCCTCATCACCACGCTTGAAACCACCTCATCAGAGCCTCCCTGGTCTCGCCAGCTGCTGGTGAGTGTTTTCTGCGTCTTGACTCTGTCTTAAATTTATTGCTATTTATTTCTATTTATTTCTATTTATTTCTATTTATTTCTATTTATTTCTATTTATTTCTATTTATTTCATTTCATTTCATTTCATTTCATTTCATTTCATTTCATTTCATTTCATTTCATTTCATATAGAGAGAGAATCCCAAGCAGGCCCACGCTTAGTGTGGAGCCCCTTGGGGCTTGATCCCATGACCCTGGGATCATGACCTGAGCTGCTATCAAGAGTTGGATGCTCAACCGAATGAGCCACCTAGGCGCTCCTGAAAAGTTATTTCTAAGAGCAGTGAATGAAGAATCCTCGACACAATATCTGAAGTCATGCCTATAAAACTCTTTGGCAGACCATGGCACGGACCACTTTGCCTGTGAATACATCCCACCACCTACTTATGCTTGGCTGGGGAAGCGGTAAGAATCTCAAAGAAAATTAACAATAGAGTGACCTCTGGATTTCTTTAATTTCTTCACTGGAAGAAGTTACCATCACTCCATTCTCTCCTCATCAAGGCACTAAGACTTTGTGAGTTCTAATAATCAGAAAAGTTGGGATGATCATAATTCCCAACCTATAATTCGAGAAGCACTTAAGAAAGGTCATAAAATCAAATAAGGCTCAACTTAAAAACACACACACACACACACACACACAACCTTTGTTGCCAGATCCTAAAAATAGTTCCCAATGGTGTCCTTCACCTTCACAATTATTTTAGTCTTTCATTCTAAATCCAAATGGCACAGAGCAGCAGAATTTATACATTAAGTTCATAAGAGAGCAGACAGCTCATTAATTCTTAACATTGGTGGGATTTGACTGTTCACTGTCACGTGCTCCATTCTGAAATATATCTGGTCTGCTTTCCTGAGATGATTAAGATGTCTTATTGATAACCTCAGGGCTATTAACAACACAGTGCCCTTCTTGTGCCAGACAAGGTTAAAGCCGCCCCCCGCCCCCACCCATGGGAGGGTGTGGGCAACATCTACACTAATCATCTCAAATTCATTCATTCACAAGTTCATTTATTCAGGTATGTGAGACTTTCCCTAGGTGCCCGGCAAGAGAAGATCTTGTCCTCCAGGAGGGAGACAAAATAAGTATTTAACCTAATGAATATGTTACAAAGGAAAATAAAGCCAAGTAAGAGAATGGAGTGTGTGTGTTGGGGGGAAGGTGATATTTTAGATCTGGTAGTTTGAGAAGGGCCTCTTTGGGGATGTGGCATTCAAGTGCGGGGACGAGTCATGGAAATCTCTGGGGAAGAGCAGCAAGAATACGAACCTCAAGACGGGAAAGGCTCCACCAGAGAGCCAGCAAAGACTTGACGGTAGCTGAATGCAATTGGAGGGCACGGGGTGATCTGAGGAGGCTGGGGCCAGCTCAGGGAGGATAGGCCATGGGAAGATTCAGCATTTGATTCTCTGTGAAGCAATTGTCTAGAGGTGGCCCTGAGGCAGAGGGAAGCTAGTGACCCTTGGTCTGCTCTACCAGGTCTTTCCAATGTGCTGATTCGCTACAGACTCTCCCAGGCCCTGCACCCAACAGTGACCACCTTGGGTCCCAGCAGGCTGGAAGCATTTAGGGATTTGGGGGAGAGTTTCTGGGGTCTTGGTCACTATGACTGTCACGTTTACTGACTTGGGGGTTTTATAATTCAGATGAGCTGCTCTGGCATCCTAGGTCTATCAGAAACAGATGAGATTTTTAAGGAATGCGGACTTTATTTCTGCTACACCACCACCTTGCATAACCATCAACTATTATGTGGGGATAATTCCTTCTGAGTCCCCCTGGTACACCATGTGATCCATATGTATTTTCTCCAGCCCTTGACAAGGTCACATTGTGTCTTAGTTCAATACCAAAGTACCATACACAAAGTGGCTTACAGACAGACATTTATTTACTTCTCAAATGTCTATTTATTGATTTTGAGATTGAGCAGAGGAAGAGGACAGAGAGGGTGAGGGAGAATCCAAAGCAGGCTCCGCACCTTCAGTGCAGAGCCTGACATGAGCTCGACCTCAAGAACCATGAGATCATGCATGACCTAAGCCAAAATCAGAAGTTGGATGCTTAACCGATTAAGCCATCCAGGTGCCCCACAGACATTTATTTTTTTTAAGTTTATTTATTTATTTTGAAAGAGAGAGGGAGAGAGTGTGAGTGTGGGAGCTGTCAGCACAGAGCCTGATGTGGGGTTCGATCTCACGAATTGTGAGATCATGACCTCAGCCATAATCAAGAATCTGGTGCTGAACCGACTGAGTCACCCAGGTGCCCCAGAAACACATTACTTTCTTTTTTTTTTTTTATTAATATTTTTTAACATTTATTTATTATTGAGAGAGAGAGAGAGACAGAGCATGAACATGGGAGGGGCAGAGAGAGGGGGAGATACAGAATTTGAAGTAGGTTCTAGGCTCTGAGCCATCAGCACAGAGCCCGACGCAGGGCTTGAACTCACAAACTGCGAGATCATAACCTGAGCCAAAGTCGGACGCTTTACCGACTGAGCCACCCAGGTGCCCCAGACATTTATTTCTTATAGTTCTGGAGGCGGGAAGTCTGGAACCAGAGTGCCAGCAAGGTCAGGTTCTGGTGAGACCCTCTTCTTGGTTGAAGACTGCCAAGTTCTCATTGTATCCTCAAGTGGCAGAGAGCAGAGAGAAACAAGCTCTCTTATGGCCCTTATAAGGACACTAATCCCATTAATAAGGCTCCACCCGTGACTTCCTCTACTCCTAATTACCTCCCAAAGCCCATCTCTTTATACCATTACATTGGGGGGCAGTGTTTCAACATATGAATTTGTGGGGATGCAAACATTCAGTCCATGATACATGGTTATCAAGTGGTGACGGGATCTAAGTTCAGATCCAGTTGGCTGGAAAACCTGTTTTTGTTTTTTGTTTTCTTAACGATGTATCTCACTGGTTAATCTTTCCTGAGTACTTCCTTTCATCACATCATTTATGGAACATGTGCTGTTTGGAGCTGTACTAGGTGGGCCCTGGGGATGGAGATACAAATAAAAGACAGTCCCTGCCCTCAAGTGTCTTAGAATAGAGTGGGCTGTCTGGAATCCATACCTCATCTTCCAGAATGGAGTGAGATCATGTAACACACAGATGCCCCACGGCCAACACACAAACCATTTTAGACTTCCTGAAATGGAGATTTGTCTTCTTCTTCTCATTAAAGAACCTTGCCAGCTGCCAGGCAGGTTGTGCCATTCATGAATAGCATCCATTGAGCCATTTGTCCTTGGCTGACATTGGTACTCCCTGTTCATACTTGGATTTCACTTTAATTTGGATTGTAAACTGTCACTTGAAAAAATCTTCAGCAAGATAGCCCTGCCTATCATGCAGGGCTAGAAAGACAAGTTGTCGATGTCGAAGCCCGCTTGTCACGCTGCGGCAGCTCAACTGAGTGATTTTTTCACCGTTGCTTCCCCAGCAACTGGCAAGATGCGTGGAGCGGAGTGGGCATGTGCAGAGGAAGAACCAAAAACAGGGGGCTGGAGGAAGCGGCATGTGGCTGAGATGCTGTGTAACCTCCCTGTGGCCAAAACGGTTTGGAATCGTCTTTCTTCTGTGTCTGGGAGAAGCTTAAATTCAAGTCTTACTGTGATGCTGAAAAAAATAAATGCTATGTAGTTGTCTAAATATAGATTACCGTTAGTTTTTTTAAAAAAAGACTTGTGAACTTTTTTTTTCCTGAAAAAATTTTTTATCACATTTACAGATATTAGTTGGTATTAGCTTTTATGACTTGGCAGTTTCTTTTACCCAGTGGCATCCCAGAAGGAAGGGAATCGTGCAATAAGTTAAAGCCCTTTAAGTATTCCAAAGCTTTAAATCAGACATTTTAATATTTGGGGTTCTGTTTGAGTGACTCTCCCAACATTCTAATCCATTAACTGATAATGGGTATTTTTCAAATATATAAAATCGCACGGATATAAAACCCGTGGGCAAATTCTCTCCCTGGTTGGAAAGGAAGTAGCCAGCATGATTCCAGTCCATGCAGCTGTAAATGCCCTGAGACGAGCTGGTCTGAGGGGCTGCTGTTGGGGCGTCTCCCTGCACAGTGAGCTCTAAAGGCATCAACATGGGAACAGAACAGCTCGTTGGAAAGCGTTGGAGGCCACGCTTTCCTCGGCAGGTCACGGCAGGGCACGTACCCTCTGTGGGATTTAGCTTCATCTGTAAAATGGGGAGGATGGCCGCTCACAACTAGACTCGGGGCGGAAAGCACCTCTGGCCTCACTCCGTTGGCACTTGGTACTAAGCACGCGTCCTGGTTCATTCAGGCTGTCGTTAACGGAACACACAGGCCGAGTGGCTTATAAACAGTGCACATTTATTGCTCACCGTTCTGGAGGCTGGGAATCCAAGATCAAGGTGCTGGCAGATATGGTGTCTGGTGAGGGTCTACTTTCTCATAGGTGGTCATCTTCTCGCCGTTACCTACATGGCAGAACAGAGGAGCTAGCTCTCTGGGGAGTCTTGTACCAGGCAGTAACCCCGAGCTAAGGGCTGTCCCTCATGACATAATCACCCCCCGAAAGCCCTACTTCCAGGTACCGTCAACACTGAGCATTAGGCTTCAACATATGAATTTGGTGGGGGCGGAGGTGGGGGAGACACACATTCAGACCATGGCGCTGTCCCCACCTGACTCCCTTCTGGGACGCCTGACCCAATCAGAATGCCTTCAGAGATCTGGAAGGCTTGTGAGCACACCATTTCTATGTAGCTCAGATCATAAAAACTGCTGTCTCCAGAAAGGTGCTCCTTCTCTGGTTTTATTGCACTGACGGCTCACTTTTAATCCTTTTATCCAAACTTTGTACTTTTCTTCTAATCTTTTCCTGCCTCTGCTTCTACAGAAACCTCATTGCAAATCCTACCACAGGGCCAGGGACACAGTCCATGCTCACTTGGACCTTGGGCCAGAGAAATTGCTGAATTCCTTGACTTCATTTCATAAAGAGCCACATTTAAATCAAGAGTTATTTTCAGCAAAACACGCTGTAAAAAATATAAAGCTCTTAAATTCTCCAAACACTGGGGACTAATCTGAAAGAGCCCAAATAAGGGGCACCTGGGTGGCTCAGTTGCTTGAGCGTCTGACTCTTGATTTCAGCTCAGGTCATGTTCTCGTGGTTTGTAGGATCGAGCCCTGCATCTGTGCTGACAGCATGGAGCTTGCTTGGGATTCTCTCTCTCTCTGCCCCTCTTCTGCTCATGCACTCTCTCCCAAAAATAAACAAACAAAAAAAAATAAATAAAAGAGCCCAAACAAAATGTTGCTATATTAAATCCAGGCTGCTTTTCTTAAGAAGTGTTGAGATACATAGGGAAGGCCTTACAGTCTATGGTCCCACAGAGCCAAATAGTATTCCTTGTATCGTGCTCTGTGTGTTCAAAGTCTCACCTTCGAGATGAACAGCAAGTATGTTCTGCCTTACGTGTCAATGTCCTGACAAGGCAAGGAGCTATAAGCAAATTCGGGCTGTCAGGAGTCCTACTTTGCAATCACACAATGTTTAAGAGGGAAGGGACCAGAATGCTCCTACAACCCCCTCGTTTATTCATGAAAGACCCAGCAAATCATGATGTATCCTACCAGAATTTCATGCCAGTTGGTGCTATTAATAGATAACTTTTGAGTGACCACTTAAGATTAGACTATTATCCTACTTAATATCATTTTGTGAGGCAACTAAATTTAAGATGTTCAATTCATCCATTTTCCTAAGAAACTTGAGTTCCCTTACCAAGAGATTTTTTTTTTTTTTAATGCTTATTTACTTTTGAGAGAGAGAGAGAGAGAGAGAGAGAGACCCCCATCCATGTGGGGCTCGAACTCACAAACCATGAAATCATGACCTGAGCCACCTAGATGCCCCACCAAGAGCTATTAATAACTGAGCTTCAACCAAGGATAGCTTAGTGCAAATAATTTGTATTGAACAGATTTAAAATTGGATACAGAATTGATCAGCATGCTTCCTTGTTTACTTACCTATGTGATCTTTTCATCCTTGGTAATAAGTGACTTTTACTGCAAGGCTCCATGCTAAACACTTAATATTTCATCTCTGCAATAAAAATTTTTTAAATGTTTATTTATTTATTTTTGAGGCAGAGAGAATGAGTGGGGAAAGGGCAGAGAGAGGGAGACAGAGAATCCCAAGCAGGCTCCACACTGTCAGTGCACAGCCAGATTCAGGGCTCAAATTCACAAGTCATGAGATCACGACATGAGCCGAAATCAAGAGTCAGATGCTTAACTGACTGAGCCACCCAGGCACCCCTCATCTCTGTATTTAAGTTCAGCTATCTATGCTAGGTATCTATATCTCTCTTTACAGTTGGGGAAACTGAGGTTCAGAAGAGCGAGGTAATGCTTGCAATCGCACAGTAAATGGCAAAGCCTTTATTCTAACATGTACACTGTGTCACTTCCAAAGATACATAGACCCCTTCTAGAACAGGTAAGAGTGCCTTTTGTACCCTAAGACTTATATCCCATTGCACTCAGTTCTAAAATAAGGGTGGAATTTAGGGTCTAGGTTGGGGCCACTACAATTCTCTCTTCTGAAGCCCTTAGGAAAGCTTAATATTTGAATTCTGACTGCTCTCTTGTTAAGGGCATGGCATGACTTTGGGCCTTGGTCTTCTAATACATTTTACTCAGTAAAATGAGCTCTGGATGGGTCCATCAACAGGCAGGAGGGGCTTTGACAACCCCTGGTCACAAAGTTTTACAAAGAACTGACAACCGATAAGGAGTACAGGAGGGTGTGAGATTGTTGGAACCTGGTACTGACGGTTTGCTACAAACAGGTACCTGTTTCACTGGGGACATTGCTGAAAAGGGCTAGATCGGTTAAAGCATGATCAAATTCATCAGTCAAGGGAAACCCACATCTATGCTTATCATTTGAACACAGAATGCCAGTAGTAATACGTGTTGCCATAGTTGCAACAACATATTGTTGCAACATAGTTGTTACAAGCCATCATGGAATCCCACCTGTGATCCTTCCTCCAGGTGCCCCAAGGTTTTTAGACTTCAAGTGCTAGGTCTTTGGCTGGAAAGAACTGTCACCAGGGTTGAGGCCCCCTTTGCATCTGCTCAACGGACAGGCTCCCATCAGTTGATAACTAACAGGAGAGTCCCAAGTCTTATCATAACCACCGCCAGGCCCTGCCTCAGCACTGCTAGTAACAGGGAGCAGGAGGAGGGCGTCTGGGCAGGAGGCATAGCTAGGGATAATCTTTTCGAGGCATAATTACTACTTCCCCTGGGAACTCTGAGCACATGTCATCAGTGGGAACACCCAAATTCCAACCTCTTCCCACTTCACCTTATTTAAAAAATAAGCAGTTTCTCTCACACAATCAATAGTTGGGTGCCATGTGTCACCTCACTGGCTCAGCCTTCTGCTCATTTGCTCCTGCAGTCTCTCTCAGGCAACCTCAGCCACCACCTACCTAAATCCAGATGGTCTGCAAAGGCTCAGATTAAGCCCCCACCTTCACAGAGCTCTTCTCAACCACCTTGTTAGAAAAGTTCTCTCTCCCCGGGCTCTTACAGTGGCCGGTTTACATCCATCTCGTGGCACTCATCACAAACCACCCTGTGAAATCATCTATGTGCATGTTTGATCCCGATCCAACAAAGTCTTCTTTAGGAACTGAAGTATTATGTCACAGATCCCCGTTTGCTCAGGACACCTCCCTCAGCCCTCTGTACCAAGCACTCTCCCAATGAGTCCGGATGATCTGGGAAAGGGGACATTCAGTGACAACCGTGTGATTGGTTCTCTGCCACCACTATATCGTCAGGTACTGGGTTCCAGTTGGCTTACTCCTACAACTTCCACCGCAGAGCCTGAGCCATCTGCACAACCTTAGACCACAAGCTGAGTCCAGACATTATATGAAAACAATGGCAAAAATCAGTCCTGGGAACTTTCTCCCTTTGGGTGAGTGCCATGAATATGCCGGCACTCAACATATTTATGGCACCTATTCCTCAGAAAAGGAAGCTCAAAAAAATGTTAAAAATGACAAAACGAGTTTTTTCTTTTTGAGAGAGAGAAGGCATGAGTAGGGGGCAGAGAGAGAGAGAGAGAGAGAGAGAGAGAATCCCAAGCAGGCTCCGCGCCCAGTGCAAAGCCTGACATGGGGCTCGATCTCACAACTGTGATATCATGAGCTGAGCCGAAATCAAGAGTTGGATGCTTAACCGATGGAGCCACCCAGGCACCCCAATAGGTGGTAGTTTTAAGAGATGAGTGGAGTGAACAGGGTCTTGAAGGTAACAGCTAACAACTTAGTTTACTCTGTGCTTGATGTGGTTCCAAGGGCTCTGTGTTGTATTTGCCTAAAGGCCATACAGGCAGAACACCAACCAGGCAATTAGGCCTCCACATTGTGCTTCTCACATGAGGCTGCACTGCCCCTCCACATACATGGGAAGGCTGCTAAGAAGAAGGGAAATGTGAATCCTCCCTTCCCCCACCCCCTCCCGCCCTCCCAATTCCCTATAGAGAGAGAAAAGGATGGGAACAGGTGCGGCCTCGCTCTGCTCTCTTACCCACTTACGTCTCTGAGGGGAGGAGGGTGACTCTGGCGGCCGAGATTGGGAGATACACTGAACATACTTTCTCAGCACGGCAACGTCACCAGGACAGAATCTGACGCTGCAAGGGGAGCTTGGAGTTAAGGTGGGTCAATTACTGGTCAATGCAAAATGTTTTAATGACCTCATCACCAGACCAACAAATACCACAAACCACTGGTGTGCTAGAGCCAGCCCTGCTAAGTTTACGTCAGTAGGGTTATCGGCCGGGGTAATAAGTAAGCCCTATTGTAATCTTAGCTTCACCCAGCCAGTCTTTCCAGTGAGATGAACTATTTTGATCTTCGTTCATCTGATTTCTAGGTCTTGTGTTTTTTTCAAAGTGTTCTGGATTTAGAGGGGAAGGGCAAGGATCGGACTAATCACCACCACCAAACCCCCATAGCCCTCTGTATTTTTCAGACGATATCCCAAATACTGAATGCAGTCTCACATGACGTTTTTAAGGTGATATTGACAAGCTGGAAGGCATTCAAAAGCTAAGATTCCAGGGGCGCCTGGGTGGCTCAGTCGGTTAAGCGTCCGACTTCAGCTCAGGTCACGATCTCACGGTCCGTGAGTTCGAGCCCTGCATCGGGCTCTGGGCTGATGGCTCAGAGCCTGGAGCCTGCTTCGGATTCTGTGTCTCCCTCTCTCTCTGCCCCTCCCCCATTCATGCTCTGTCTCTGTTTCAAAAATAAATAAACGTTAAAAAAAAAAAATAAAAAAAAAAAAAGCTAAGATTCCAGCCTACACTGGGGACCATGTGGTATGAAGGGGATGGAAGGAACATGTCAGTGCTCTGTGTACATGGTTGGATCTGTAGGTCAGACTGGGGGACACAAAATGGTCTTTGGCAAAGAAAGCGATAGGGCTTTGGGACTAAGGTGGGCTCTCATTACTCTAGAGAAGGGGTCAGCAAATTACGGCTGCAGGTCTTGTGTTTTGCAAGTAAAGCTTTATTGGAACACAGCCACGCCCATCCATACACGTATTGTCTATGGCTGCTTTTGCTCTACACAACGGCATAGAAAGTCGTGGCAGAGACTGCATGGGCTGCGAAACGTAAAATTTGTATTCTCTGGCTCTTTACAGAAAAAATGTGCAGACCTCTGGTCTAGACCTAGGAAAGTAACTAATCGCCTGAAGGTGTGGGGAGGGAGAGAGGATGGGAGGAAGGGGGAAGAGGAGAATTTTGGTAGGGGAAGAGGTGAAAGTGGGGAGAAGGGTGGAATGGAGGATGGGAGGAAAGGGGGAAGGGGGGCATGGAGGGGAGGGGGTAGGGGGAAAGGGTGTGCTTAGAAAGCTGGGACCTTTGGTTGGGACATCAGAAAAAGGCCGAGAGGAAACCATTAGTGGGGACTGACCACCATGCCTCACTACATGGGGATCTGTCCTCATGTGAGCTGAGCAACAGGATAACCTTTCCCACTGAATTATTTACATCTACCTGGGTGAGTTCCTACAAGGTGAAGAAAGTGGATTTTCCTCCAATGTGTCCGAATTGGTAGCATATAAACAATGTAAAACGCGAGCACAGGTAATCAAAAATGTTTTAATGATTAATGTTCAGACATTATTTAACAGTGTGGATATACCCAGGTGAGCTAAAGCACACTTTGACAGCACACTATTGAATGTTATAGTTTCTGTATTGAAATATGTAAAGACATTCGCAAACTAGTACCTAGGAAGACACACATTTACAAATATACACATTCTAGATTTGATAAGGTAAATGTAAACAGATGCTGTGACTCCTTCCAAACAGAAAACCCACAAGACTAAGAAGAGAACCAATCGGCTCCCTATAATATGGATGTGCAAAATTAAAGCATGATAAACTGATATTTACATAAATATCAAACCAACAATTAGTTTATACATTGTCGATGACCTTCTCAGATGCGTCACGAGTGGTTCAATGACTGTTTTCTCCCCGAATGGAGAAGATATTCAGAGACTAAATTTCAACACTTTAAAATGACACACACAATAGTCCTTATTTGTTTGACCACTGCCTCAAGTGTGATAGACATGATTTTATGATAAGCAGTCTTATTTTTAAATAAGCAGTTCTACACAAATCTTTAGATTCTAAGCAGAAAAAAAAAATGACAGATACCATTAGATTTACATTAAACAAATTATCTCTATCCAATTTCCCAGTTCTCTTAGGCTATAGCTATCTGTTTAATTTTACCTTAAAATTTTTTAAGGTCCCTTTTCCCCCCGTTTATTCATTTTAATAAGCTAGGCACATTTTAAAAGAAGTTTGTGTCAAAACAGACAGCAGCACAGGAATCAATCCAAATTTGGACCCTGGCCAACTAGTTCCCCATTGTTCATCTATGGGATTCCGTCAAATGGTAAATATTCAATCATCTCTTTTGAAAAGTGTACATCCTCCCTCTGACGAGTGGAAAGCAAAATGGGCGTTGTTTCCCGTATAAAAACACTTAGCACTTCAGATATTTTAAATGTCCCACTCGCCCTACATACTTCCTAAAATCTTGAAGACAAAGAATATATACTTAGGTTTCATCAAAACTGCTTTAGAGCCCCCCTTCCCTTTTTACATTATTAATAGTGGCACTCAAAATAAAAAAATAAGATCTGTTAAAAAGTTAAACTGACTGTTCCACTAGAATTGAGCCTGCCTGATTTAAAGCCAATATTATAAAACTGAAGGTGCCATTTCTGATTTCACATATACAAGTCACTTGACATTATGTGTCACACGCTAGTTCAATAAATCATGGTCTTTGATTTTTCTAAACAGAGCTATTAAAAATGAATAAAAACTTGAGACATATCCTAATTTAAATTAATAAGCTTTGGGCCCTGCTTTTTAAATTTTAAGGCATGTGTGTTTTTCTACTGTAACAACATTGTACAAATTTACAGTCACATGCATGATCTACAGTAAAAAAAAAAAAGTTTGGATTACAGTGTTTTTAAATTGTGAATCACAATTCAGCACCTATCATGTTATAACTAATAAGGCAACAGCAGTGTCGTATACTACAATAATACGCCCTCCACAGTCTAGCGCAGGGTTGGTGAGAGCCCAGAAATGTTAAAAATCTTATGCCTACGTGTATAATCTGTATGGGTATTCTAGGGGTTTTGAACTGATGAAAGAGGTCCTACATGAGTCACACTATTGTAGGCCGGACTAGTTACAGCAGCTGTTAACGAGCATCGGGCACAACTCATACTGTGCTTACAATCAGACGATGGGTTTTGGAGGTCTTCAACTCTTCCGCTTCAATCCTTGCGCTGCTTCCTTGGCTTCACATGGTTTTCCAGGGAAGAAAAGCTGTTGGTGTGTCCGTTCACAGCAGCCACGGACCCATTCTGGTGGTCTTTCAGGTGCTCTTTCCTCCGCGAGGCCCCCTTCTTGTTGTAAGTCTGAAATGAAGAAGGGCAGACAGGCCGTGTGAATGGGTGCTCTGCTGGTGGATGGGGGTGCCCTGCTTCCCTAACTCCAACCTAGTTTCCTGCTAGCATCCAATACCACGAGGTCTGCAGTCAGGCGACCCTGGGTACATTTTTTGCCACCGGTTTTAATCACTTTTTCTTTTTTGAGGCGTAGCATGAGGTAAGTTCAGGGAGGTATAGGCTGCGATATAAGTGCTATTCTAAAAATTAAGTAGAAAATTCAATTTGCGCTCTATTTGGCTTCGCCCTGTCTGTATCCGGATGGCAGGTTATCAAGGTTACAAGGCCACACCAGCTTCTCCCTCTCTGTAGTAGTAGCTCTCCCGTCACTCACATCTCTTATCTTCAAGGTCTGCTCACGAGCTCACTCATACACACCATGTGCAGGGGTGTGTGAAGAAAGGTGCCTGTGGGCACAGGGAAGGGGCTGAGCCCCCAGGTGGCTGGTCGACGGACTGGGCTTTACTGCCTCCACATCCATGGCCTCTGCCCTTGCTCCCGACCTCTGGTGCCTGCCCAGAACCAGGCACTGCACGGGAGCAGGAACACACGTCATCCAGGGGTGGCAGGGAGCCACCAAGTGATCCACGGGAGACAATTTACCCTAAGTGGACCCTTCTGTGAGTAAAACTTACCTCACATCATGCACTTGGGAATGAACTGAGCCCCCAAACCCAAGCAGTGGACGTGTGAGAAAACTGGGACAAAGAGGCAGATTTCTATCTACAGCTGAGAGCTGTGAGGGAAATTTCTTTGGACATTTAATTTCATCACAAAGTTCTGAGCACTAGGGCTGTGAGACTGACTGAAATCACCCATCACGTGTCTGCAGGGGGCCCTGAGCAATCCAACACGGAGCTTATTCAACAGCTCTGTTTTCCCACGTGAATCCCGAGCCCTCTTTCCAAAGATGGAGCCCTCTGGAGGTTTGGGACAGATTTCAGCATCTCCTATGTTGGCAGGAGTCCCCCTCCTGTAGGCAGGGGCTGCCCTGCCACTGTGACAGCAAGGGTCCCACGTGTTATGATGGCCCCCTGAAATGAACAGATGAGGGGCTTTTTAGCAAAGGCCACAGAAAAGTGAGATTTACCTGAATGTAGAAGTTTGTGAAGAAAGCAATCAGAGAGATCATGTATCCGATCTGGAAGTACAGCCACCCAAGAGGGAACGAACACGGCCAGATGACCCCGCAGCTGGTCTGGATGATTGTCAGCACAAACTGAAGCTGATGGGAGAGAGGGGATACAGCTGATCAGCCATGGCCCATGGACACAGTGCCACCCCAGACTGGCTCTCCATCCAGCACTCCTCAGTCTGTGAATGAATACTTACAGGCCTTTCTGGTGCAGAAGTCAGTCACTTCATAAACACTATGCATACATTTATACATAAATTTATCCTACACTATATATTTGCCTTTGTCTTAAAAAAAAAAAATTTATTTATTTATTTATTTATTGGGGGGGGGGGGGGGCCCCAGACAGGAAGAGAGAGAATCCCAAGCAGGCTTCAGGCTGTCAGTGCAGAGCCCGATGTAGGGCTCGAACCCATGAACTGTGAGACCATTACCTGAGCCAATACCAAGAGTCAGAAGCTTAACTCACTGAGCCACCCAGGGACCCTGTGCCTTTGTCTTATATATATTCTTCTCCCCTTCCAGGCTACTTCAATCACCTTTTGTCTAATTCAGAACATAGGGATGCCTGGGTGGCTTAGTCAGTTAAGCGTTGGACTCTTGATTTCAGCTCAGGTCAAGGTCTCATGGTTCATGGGTTCAAGCCTCATGTCGGACTCTGTACAGACAGCATGGAGCCTGCTTGGGATTCTCTTCTTCAATCTCTGCCCCTCCCCTGCTTGCACTCACATGCACATGTATAAGCATGCTCTCTCTCTAAAGTAAAATTAAAAAAAATGCAGAGAATAGTTAAAAATACCATATTGTACATACGCAAGCTGTTAAAAGAGAGTAGATCTTAGAAGTGCTCACAGCAAGAAAAAAACTGGAGCTATGTATAGTGACTCTAGAGGTTAATTGAACTTAATTGTCCTAATCATCTCA